CTGTACAGATACCGGATTGTACACATCTCAGGCCATTGAATGGAAGTACTTTATTCGTCGACGCAGTTATAATTTCAATTAATTTGGACTGGTTAAACTATAATTATTAGAACATGTGACGAGAATGTAAAGGTTTGCCCACTGCCAAGACGCACAATGTCGCAATTACACGTAATCAATATGTTTTATAACAAAAACATTCGTAATAAAATCTGGCGATCTCTGGGCGACCGTTCCTTTGTGCGAGATGCCATTCTTACCACAGGTACGGTTTATATTAATTAATAAAATTATATACGCGAAGTATTAATTATATTTAACTTAAACGAAAATTAAATTATTCGCTAAAATTGTCCGTGTAGTCGTAAATACAAAATTTCATCCAAATCCCTTGAGTAGTTAAGGAAAAAATTACATCCACGAAATGTAGGCAGACTTCATCATTATGCGTTCACGTCACGCACTTCTTGCCCGCAAAGTGACACTTTCCTCCGGGTATGGGATACCCGCCGACCGGACTTTTCGAATACGAAGATTTGTCGCCAAAAGGCAGGCGTATAGCCTTCGCAGTTTTCAAGCGCAGGCAATGATTTAAACCTGTGACTTGAAAACTTTGTTTTCTTTCACAAATCAGCACAATAACAACAGAAGCAGCGGGCAGCCCTGTAAATTACTTCCCTGCAACATTTTGCTCGGCGTATCTCGAAAAGTTCCGAGCAGAATGTCAGCTTAATTTCCTCCGCAGCGTAAAAACGTGTTGTCGCAACTTGATGGCAGCCGGGACAGGGGGAAAGATATTGCCTTCTCTTACAGCTTTATGACTGCTGGTATATTATATCCGAGATATCGAATTGCCGTTGGCAGACCGATCAATGTGTGGAGACGGCTGCTAGCCCGAACAAAGCGGAAAACCGATCTAAAAGGTGGAAACGAATATCAGGCTACAGAAAACGGCCGGTTGCCTCGTGTCACTGTTGATCCACGTATCATCTTCCGCTTGGTTTGAAATGCGGGGTGTCTGATGCCTGGTCCTGAGAATTGCTCATCTCACATCGGGTTTCCATCAAGTGTAACGGAGCGTCGTCCGGAACACAGCGGCCTCTTTACTGAATATCGTAAGAGCATCATTTGCAAGAATCCTCGTACCTCCACAGCACACATCGACGCGGACTTGCGTCCAGTAAAGAAACGTTCGTGCGTTTGTCTACGAACGTCGTACTGCAGATGGCCAATCCAGCAGTTACTTAACACGGCATTCCAGGTCAGATGACAGACGTTTCGTAAGGTATTAAATCCGAAGACCTTCATGCATAATTATGACACGCCGAGAAACAAACCCACTTTGACACAGAGCACACATTAGTAAATATCTTCTCAATCTTGGCGTCTAGATTCAGCCAACTTGCGTAAATATATAGATATCCGGCCATGAAAACTTTTGGCATCTGTCGGAATGACATCTGCATTTTTCCAAGGACAGAAAAGGTTTTGCACTACTTTTCGAGGCGGCCTGGTGCTGTGACAGCCGTCTCAAAAACATTGACTAATGCAGATGGACCGTCTGCGTATTCCTAGAACCTTGTGTTGCATGTTCCTTAACATGCTTCAACCTCAGGTTAAATGTCGAAGCGTGGGAGTAAAGAAAGAGACGATGTTTTTCGGAATATATATTGATGCGCGCGCACCACGATCCCCTTGTCGCTGGTCACCACGCACTGACAACACGCAGGACATCTGGCGATTACCGTCAACTCACGTAACACATAGTCTTAGCGGTGGCGTGTCTGAAAATCATCTTAATGATACGTCCGTCCGTCTGTCGTGACTTTCATCAGTGTTGGAGCCTTGGTAGCGTTGCTGACGTCATAGCCATGAAGGTAAGACCTCTCCAGTCTTTATCGAGATTTAATTCGACTGACTGATTCTTATATTATGCACCAAACTGTACCAGTTACAGAGTCAGCTGAAATTGCTGAAACGTCACTATGCAATGTTGCATCCGCTGCTCTTGGTATGCAATAAACTTTCAATCCTGGATCTCATTTTGTTTGAGTCCAACAGTGTTTTCCATCTCCCGTATGCGCGGATCTGCAAATAGTGTTCCATCGTCTTCGCCGAGAGCTTCAGATTTGAATTGCACGGCGAGGCGAGGTGACATTACTGAACCGGGTAGCAGCCGAACGCATTCCCCGAAAGACTTTATTGGTCTGTAAGGGCACAATGATCGACATTTACGACTGGAAACAAATCTCCCTGTGACGAACTCGCCTATAAAGTTACAACAGAAATAAAACCGATACTTATGTTCCAAGAATATCTAGACTAAACCATACGGGGCTCATTTCACCATTAAAGCTCTCTTTCTGTTTACGATTCCAGAAAAGGAAAGTTTGGTCTGCATTCTCATCATTTCAGTTTAATCTGAATTTTCTGAAGAGGCTAGTCATGGAAACTCTTTGAAAAACATAATGTGTTTGCTGAAGCTATAGAGACGTAGTCACAAAGATGTAACTGCATTATAGTATACAGCATACTCAGGAAGTCCTTCCACGGAAAAGAAGCTATGTTGCACGTTCCATTGACCGGAATTCTGATTGGGACACTTCAGACAGAAAAAAGGAGTTTTAAAGGTATGTAAGTGCTCGGATCTTTTACTAAGAAAGAGCATAACTATTACTTACAAATTCTTTTGAATGTTCATGGAAGTACTTTTTGGTCATATTTTTATGTACATAGATTATACCACATCACTAACTCTGAATACGGATTCTTCGCTAGGCTCTGAAATTCCACCGTGCACGCATTCTTTTGCCAGAGTCTTGAGTTCGTGACGGTCCGCGTTCATCGTATTGTTCTCTGCGTCTCTCACTCAGTCGAGATGATGGTAACACTGCTGACGTTTCAAAGGAACCTCGGGCCTTTATCATCGGGTAGATTCTCGACGTTAAACACGTCACTACACTTAAGACTTGAGGCTTCTGAAGCGACTGATTGCAATAAAATCTTCTCTGGCGTCGAAATGGAATCGTAGCGACATTTCCAGATGATTGAGACGGAGACTGTCTCCGAAACGTCGGACAACGATTCCATTTTGGCGCGCCTCGTAGCCCGAGAAAATTTTATTACATCATTATACGCACAGATGTAATTTATTTTCAAATGGTGCAGGATGGATCGTACAAGTTAAACATTTTATACGATTCTGGTCGATGAACCAAAGTTCTGACTGGATGACCGATAAATTCCTCACATTCTGTGTTGTTATTGTTCGAGAATCGACAGGCTCACAATCGTGAGCGACTATTTTCGATTGTGTGTTAGATCAGAAAATTCCTTCCGCAACGCGGGTTTGTTCGATGAACCAAAGTTCTGACTGGATGAACAATAAATTCCTCACATTCTGTGTTTGTTATTGTTTCGAGAATCGACAGGCGCACAATCGTGAGCGACTATTTCCGATCGTGTGTTAGAACAGAAAATTCCTTCCGCAACTCGGCCTCATGGGGAGACGCGGTGTGCTTCGCTTAAAACAATAACAGTATTTTTTTTTATAACAATAACAACAGAATCCGGAGGCCAGAGTGGTATTGCGCGGAGTTATAAAAACAATGGTGTAGTATTAAAAACATAGCAATATGGCAGGCAGCGAAATTGAGGTTATAACAGCAAGGGTTCTGCTAAAATAACAAAAGAATTTATACGCCTTGTTAGGTGAAATGTAGTAATTTAAAAACTCTTGAATTAAAGGCGACTCTGTTAAACTGATCTGGGAAAGCTATGTTCCATTGAACGCGTTCTCTTTTACTAGGGACACACATCCTGAAACCTAGGACGGACGTAATGTTATATTTGAAGGAAACACCAGAATCTGCCATTGAGTGCAGGTGTTCCTTGCGTGATTTTATACCGTAACTGTAAATGACATGGCTCCCAACTACAAGTTACCACCTACTGAGTCACTACTACGGATAAGAAATATTAACGCTTTGTTCTTTTTTTGTGCGGGAGTGAACAAGTAATCGGTGTTTCAAAATTATTTCTACTTTTATATTATATATGAGAAAGGCGAAAAGACTTACATGTGTCAAAATAACTCTGATACCTTCTTGTCCGTACGTTCTAGAGGCTGACGTTCGGTTTGTAAGTTCGGCTTTCGGTAGAGAGCCGAAATTATACATTGAACTTAGATATGATTTTACGAGTTTGGAATTTCTCAAACATCACGAGATTTTTAGATCATAGTTAATTAAAAATTCGTCCCTTGTTGACGGTGTACTGGAGCGTTTCCAAAAAAATGTTATTCCGTTCGAAGATTTTAGTGCTGGAGTACCAGTGTCTCGTTCGCTTGGTTCTCGAACGTTCGGGTACCGAAGACTGGACTAGGGGACTCAGCTACGTCTTCTACAACCACGTCCCTACGCTTGGAGTAATGTTTCCATAATTCTGTTTAAGTGTCAGTTATTTCTGTACATACTGCCCAAGTCAACGGATTCATTCCTCCATGATTATCAAAAGAATTTCTATTAACTTATTTTTAAAAAAAAACTGTATCCATTACAGTTCTTTTGCATTCTCCTGATATTTGGTATGCAACCCAAAGTATGCAGAAACTCTCGCATTTCCGTCCATTGATGGGAAATAACTTTAACAAAAAAATTGTTTTAAATATCTCGACGAATTCCTCGTTTGACGGAGAATACTTTCAAATTTTTTGGGAATGTATCTGCAAAAAAAAAAAAAAAATTAAATAACGAACGCTCGCTCATTCAATTTTTTTACATCACGTAAAAACCCTCCAATTTGTCCTAATATTGCTGGGCTACATTTTTAAATACTGTTGTGGATTAAATTCCGATTCGATATTTGGATGCTGGAGAAATGACACAACTTCCAGGCACTCCTCTTATTCAGTTGATTCTGCTTGGGGCTAACGCGGGAGACATCAGGTAAGTAAACCTGACCCAGGAGGAGAAACAAGGCGAATGCAATGGTGGACTGACCTCAGTGAAGATGCTGACGAGGCTGGCCCTCTTCTTCCCGAGGCGAGTGAGCACGTCGTACCCTGCACACAGCACCAGGACTGTCACGCCAGTCTCCTTGCTCAGGATCGCGCACGCCGCGAACAACACACACCCGCACAAGTACAGCCACTGTCTTCCTCGAGACGCCCCTCCGTCCAGGAGCACGTATTTCGAGCAAAGCCTAAACGTCTCGCACAGGCACCGCCCGCTCACCGCAGGCGATCGGCATTTCCACTGCTCCTTCCACCAGTGACCGTGTTCTCCGTCATTTCTGCTCGCGAAACACCGATAACACGTCTGGGCACACGAGCTCCTGCACTCCCGGCTGCTTCTGTCTCGGAGACGCACGTGGGCAACGTAGCACTGGAAGGACAGGAGGTAGAAGATGCAAGCGGCGATGTCTGCCCTCCCGACGACCCCGGCGACCGCCTCCGTGTGGATCGGGTGAGTGGCGAACAGCAGGCCGGTGATGGCGACGGGCACGTGGGATGGGAACAGCAGCCTGGAGAGGCGGACCACCAGGCTGGTTGCCAGGCAATGCAGAAGGATGTTGACGAGGTGGTAGCCCCACGCCCGGAAGCCGCCGAGCAAGTAGTTGAGGCGGAAGGACAGGGTACAGAGCGGGCGGTACGAGCCGTGAGATCCGCTGTGTGACAAAGGCGTCCCCCAGAAGTCGTCTAAGAGGAGGTGGGCTAGCGGAGTGGAGGGCAGAACGTCCTGATTGCTGAGGATGGCGCGGCTGCAACATAAGAGATTCGCATCAGAACAGAGAAAAGAAAAACTTCCTACATTCTGAATATTGGTGAACATCGGCGTCATGTTCCTGTCACTGCTCGAAGTTTGTACACTAAGCGGGCGCAAAATGAAGGGCACAGCAGGTTTAAATAGGCGAACGAATCAGTCTAACACAGTGGTATTCAACCTGGGGTACGCGAAGACATCTTAGGGGGTACGTGAAATTTAAAAAAAAATATATATTATTTTATGATAAACACTGAATAATCAGTAAAGTAATTTATTTAATTTATTTTAGATGTAGATTATATACTATGTATAACTTGAATTATACACCAACAACTTTGGGGGTACGAAAAATTATATCTGGGGGTACGCGAACAAGAAAGGTTGATTACCACTGGTCTATTAAACAACAAGTTCATATTCAAGCACTTGGCCACGAACACAAACTTTTATTACTAAAATGCTGTTGACGGAACACTATAGTTTGCAGTTTGTTACATGTTTCGACCAACACACGTCATCTTCATGCAAGAATAACTATTGTTGTGTTTGACGGAATATGAACCTCTTGTTTCACAAAATCCACAGAAGGACGCAGACCTACGAATTGAAACAATTTCTTTTATTTTTTTTTAAATTTGTAACAACTTTAAACACTTTACAGAAGTTATTTCTGACACCGACCACAGGTACAAGACAGTACATTTGTATTTTACAAGCGAATTAGGTTATTTTAATCTACATTTTCAAGATATAAAATGACATGTTTGATGCGTCCCGTGGTTGTAGCAGACATGGCCGAAACAAGCACACAGACGGTAAACATTGTACTTCACGGTACTAACTGTGACGCCTAAGACCTGAGGGCGCATGTCGCAAAGCTGACCACCGCTGTTGTTACCCGGGGGAGGGGGGGGGAGCCCGCTAGTAAAAACACTGTGACGACCGGACCACGGACTGCGGGGTTGACGTCCCAACGCTACGACCACCGAAATGCTAATTTTAGCGACTAGTGCACGCCATCCTGTGAGACTGGGGGTTCCTCATGCGACCCTACCACCACTCCCTCCCTTACTGGCCGATTTCACCCTTTAAGAGACAGGAGTAATCAGTGACTGGTGAAGAGTTCTTCTTGAGGAGCTGATAGTTGCTCAGCTAAACAATAAATCGCATGCCTTTTATGAAACAGTGTTGACAAGAGCTCGCCATGGGTTCCTTCCCGAGCCACATCAAGCCATGTACACCCTATTTTCAATTCCTCGTAATACAGTCCTTCTATCTGCACTTGGGAATTGTGAGTGGTCTCTGTCGTTACCCCTGGTAGTCGCACTGTAAACGGAAGTCAGCTGTACGGTTCACCGTGACTTCCACAGCAAGAAATCTGTTTTCGGCGCGATTATTGGAATTAGTTTAGAACTCTCGTCAAGAACCTTAACTCCATGACGGCAACATTAACGAATGTAATTGAGTGACTCGCTTTCACGTTCTGTCATTACAGAATGAAACGTAATGCCGGAAGCTAATCACAGAACCCATATTCTATCGTGTCAATTTGATTAAGTGAAATAAAAATACATTCTTATACTTCCAGCACACGTTTGTACCCGTTTCTGTCATCTGTAAGTGGGACACGTACTGTTCGCGACTGTAATCTTGAGACTTGCGGGGTGAAGGAGGA